ATATTCCTCTATAAATCATAAGCCCCAGACCTTTTCCAACAGAACCACAAGGAAAATCAGAATCTTTTTATAGGTTTTCTCATTCCATCCTACTGCTCTCTACATGTCTATGTGAAGAGAATATATCTGCCAAAAACACACTCAGAATTCCACAGCTAACAGATACTTGTAAAAATAAAACTTTGAAAACACATAAGAAGAAGAAACAGCATGTTCTGAAGGCTGTGAAGATTCCGTGATTTTCGTTATTCTTTGGCTCTGGCAGGATCACCTTCAGTGTTTCAGACCCCCATGAATGGACAGTTCTTATTCCTAGGACTGATGAAGGCCTATTTGTATAAACTGATTTTTTTATGTGTGACTTTTTAATGGTACTTCTAATGGAAAATCACCATAAAAATAACTTATCCACTCTTGAACCCTGAAAGAGGTTCAAAGGTTGTTGCTTCCAAACAACACAAAAGTTTAACCTGTAAGAATCATTCCAATTTATTTTTAAACTCATATTAACTACCTACTTCTAGAAAGAATTTGAAACGACAAATGGGAAAATATGCACACGTAATAAACATTGAAAGAAATAAGTCTGAAGTCAAGCAGGGGGCGATCACACAGCCAAAGCTCGTTCTTGAACTCTGCATGGCAGTCACACTCAGAGGAGAAATGTTTTTACAGTTGCAAATTTTTAGGAGAAACAGATTTTTCTTGGTATCACAGTCTAAAATTGGTTCATCACATGGCACTACAGAAAGTTTACTAAGCAATATGAATTTAATAAGATCTAAAATGTTTTCAGCAACTATTATATTGGAGTTACATGAGGGCCTTTCATTTGAATGTATTAAATCTAATAGTATAAAAATGTAAATTGATAGCTCTATTTACATAAAGTGATAAATAAGGAAGACATAAAGTTCCAGGTATCAGAGCCCAGAGACAAAGCCCTTTAATGATATGGAAAAAGAGTTTGAAAAGCCTAAAGTCATGCCTGTATGCAAGGTACCTCATATAGACGGATGATTTATACTTTGGATTTTTAAGGACCTGTGTATCCTTTTCTTTTGTAAATCTTGAAAAGCAGAAATTAGTGTTATTGTCTAGAAACACGTGAATGTTTGTTTTTCTATGATTCCTAGGAAATTATATTATCTGTATTATTTCTCTGTAGTTAAAAGATTTTCTCGACACAAGTCTGAGCTACAAAGATATTTGTAAGAATCATAAAGTGTGCTCAGGAAACACCATTTATAGGTTCTCAGGGTTGAACAATCTCTTTGATCCCAAAGATCTGCATGATATTCATGAAAGAGGCAACATAAACTCCTGCCTTAGCCATGAAAGGAATCATGCCTTTGTTCCTTGTCCCACATAGTTCAGATAGATATATGACTACATATCTTCATTCCAGCAAAGGCTTTTTAAAAATAGATTTGATAGCCTAATTGTGTGAGATGATTTGGAAGTCTTCATTTTTAAGAAGTCCAGACATTCATAGAAAGGAGATCTAAATAATGTCATATTCCCCTCTGTATTCTTGGGACTGGATCCAGACTCAGGATTTCAATACATACTATGTATTTCAAAATCCTCTACTTACTTTTTCCACTTGGTGAATGGTTTCTAGTTTCTGAAATTTATAGTATTTGTGATGATATAAAATTGACTTTAGTACAGTGCTAAAAGCTGAATAATTAAAAAACAACAATAACAACAACAACAACAACAAAACCTTTGTCTTTCATCTTCCAGGTCACTCAGGTGGCAGAATTAGTACATTCCTAATATCCATTTCTCCTTGGTTATTATTTCCTCCTGGACAGCACCATCATCTTAGAGTCATGCTCACTTAAGCACATACAAGACTGGAAGCCTTATTAGAGAAACCATCCCATGTAAAGAAATTGGAATTATGTTCAAAGTCAGATTTTTCAAAAGAAAAATTCCAAGGCTTACCTGCACTAATAACTAAAATTTCAATGAACTATTTAGAAATAGCAAAGGTATTAACATTCACAAAATTCTGTTAAACTTACAAATGGCCTCACTAGCACATAATGAAATGGATTTGCTTCTCAAGAGGACTGATAACCAGAGGCAAAGCCCTTAGGAACTGGAGTACAGGCAAAGACACACTGAGAAATAAAGATCTGGTACATGGATCTCTAAGAAGAAAAGCCAAGCCTGACAAAGATGTCTCATTGTGAGACTCTAGATAACCACAGGGTCTCCAAGGGGATTAGGTACCAGGGGAAACAGCAGGGAAGGGGGGTAAAATTCCAAAGGCACATTTCCCCAATTACCAGTTTGCTTAAAAGTACAAATAGCAGGGCTGGAGAGATGGCTCAGCGGTTAAGAACACTGGTTGTTCTTGCACAAGACCCGGGTTCAAATCCCAGCACCCACATGGCAGTTAACAACTGTCTGAAACCCCAGTTCCAGGGGATCCGACAGCCTCTTCTGTCCTCTGTGGGCAGTGCATGATACGGGTGCTCTTACCTACATGCAAGCAATACACACATACACATAAAATAAAAATAATTTATAAAAAATAAATAAAAGTACAAATAGCTATCAGGAAATTGATGCCAACTGTGCTGAAAATCAGCCCAAAACTTTCTCTGAAGAATTATGTTTAAATATTTGAATTCTTTAAGATACTCTCCTTTCTGTAACTTATTGTCATGCATTGGAGAAGCAATGCACTGTCCACCTGCCCGGTCAGTCTTACCCCTACAGCTAACCTTGACCTGCTTCCTATGCTTGCTTGAAACAGCCACCTGGGTGAAGTATGACCTCTTGATAGCAACATTTTTCTCTTCTACAGCACCAGGAACATGAAGGGATCATTTGAATTTACCAAATTTTATTCTAATTATCAGGGTTAAAAAATCCTTACATTTCACAAAGAATTTGTTCATTGTATTTAAATAATGAAATTGTAGGTAGGTTGCAATCCACCAGCAAATAGCACCTTAGCACGTAACTTACCAGGAGGGAGAGGATTTGGGATGAAAACATTTGCTTTCATCCCAGATCTACAGATAACACACAAGAAATTATGGCAAGGCGAATCTGGCTCTTTCCACCACACCTTGCCGCCCACAGAAGAAATAGGTGCCCTGTTTGAGAGGTCCCCTTTGGGATCAAATTCTGAGTCATCCCTATGACTACCACTTACTTGAGAGAAAGATTAATAAAATAGGGTTGGGAGAACTTTTGGGAAATGATGATAGGTGAATACACATTTGGGGATCATGTAATTTTGAATCTTTACTACTGCAATTGCGTCAGTGTTTATAAATATACACTAAAGTAGATACTGATACTAAATCCATACACATGAATTTAAATATAATTTATTTTCAAAATGTTTTGAAGCAGATTAATACTGTTTTAATCATTACAAAAATATATTTCTATTAATGATACTGTAATAATGTTAATTTAGTGCATAAAAATGTTCACATTTTATGTAATTACAATCTAAGGTTCTCTCATATTCATGCTAGAATAACGACAGAATCACAAGAGTACATTCCCTAGGTTTTTTTCCCTATCATTTTGTATTTAATTCTAAATTAATAGGCTGTTGTTACAACTCGAGATTAATATCAAACATTGTTAAAAATTACTGTTTCTGTGTACTTACAATATTGTTTGGAGAATGATAGTTAACTTCTTTGTTTCAAGAGCCAGAGATTGTGTTCATTTTCTACCTACTTTAAAATTGTTAATTCTTTTGGATAATATTGGGGGAATATTGACAACTGATTACCACTAGATGAGGAACAGCTGACTCTCATAAAACAAAGACCTCTAGATAGGCTGACTAGATTCACCAGAAGGGCAAGTAGTGGGGAATAGTAGTGGGGTGCCAACAACACAACACAAGCAGACAGTAGCAGGGATATCAGAGTATAAGGGCTCTAGTGGGTGAGGGAGTCTATAGGAGTGTGCCATCTGGGAAATGAGTGTAAAAATTAAAATTTTTTTTTAAAATCTTATAATAAATGGTTAATTCTTAGCTTTAAAGTACATAATAACTATTTCCATTCTAAATTAAATTCTAAAGTACATAATAGATAACTAAAATCAAGAGCCAAAAAGTTAGTGAAGAAATTGCTGTTCCCCAGAGAAAGAGTGTGCCCTCCCCACAAATAAACCTTAGCCGATTCCACTATATCGTGCCTATATTTTGCTGTCATGCGTTCTACTCCAGTTCAGTTTTCCTCTCTGCCTTATTGTTTACCCAACTGCTGATCTGATATTCCTGAAGGACCTAGAAAACACACATTCAGTGCAGTAACTATCGAATTCAGGTTTATCTCCCCACACATTGCTTCAGAAAGATGCAACATTTACAACACAAAAACACTGCCCTTGAGTGTAATCAGTTCAAAGAACCAAATGGCATTTCCATTTAGAGGACTGTGCAATAGTGCTCAGAAGCAGGGAGAGATTGCATAATGTTTCAAAAGTTTTTCCAGTGCTATGTCATTCATGTGCTTGAATAGTTAAGATGTTTTAAAATATTTTTTGAGGAGCTGATAAAAGCGTATGTACTGAGCTTCAGAAAGTAGAAAATAAAAGAAACATTTAAGTATTGGAGAAGTTAAACTTCAGGCACTCTTTATTGCTGTGCTGTAGTTTAGTGCCAAATTCTTCAGGTTAAGGATGAAGAGAAACTATTGCAGCTGACAGCCCCACAGCCACCTGGGATGCAGCATTACTTACCTAAAGATGGGTCTTTGGAGATGTTTCTTCCTGATTGTGACATGCTCATCCATTTAAAGATGAAGATTTAACTTCTTCCTGGAAACCAATCCAGAAAATCCAGGCAGGGAATGTGGAAGCTTATCCTGATCTATTGTGCTGCAAGGAGCCCAGAAGGAAAAAGTAGTTTCCTCTTTCTCTTTTTGGGTGCTGGGAGAAAACTTCCCTGTTCTCTGCCAGCTGGGCAGTGTGTCCATAGAGGCCACATAAGACAGGCACGTTGGGGCACTCCCCCACAGAGCAGGGTGTGCAAAAACCACCAAGAGTCACGTTGATACAAGCAAGAGAAGCACACGGGACCCTCGGAAACAGAACAAAACAAACAGAAGCCTTCCTACCCAAGCGTCACCCAGGTAGGAGCTCCCTAAGTTATTGTAGCCATGAGAGCTCTCCTTCCACATGCTGGCCGAGCTCGGCAAGGCTAAGTCCCTCCCTGTCTTTAAAACAGCCTGTTCTGAGGCTCAACTTTTTTTCTTCAAAATAAAAGTTGTTCAGCTAGCTGAACAGTCCCAAGTGAGTACCCTCAGCAAGGCCATGTGTTAAAATAAGATCTGTATACAAATTAATGAAGAAGGATGGACTGGTGTTGAACAGCTGGCTGTGCTTCAAGAGATTATAATTATTTTACAATCTTGCTTTAATTCATCTGGAAGAAGTGTGGAGACGACTCATCATTTTTGGCACTTATAACCTAACAACCTACACTTGGCTGAGGTTAGGGATGTCATTCCAGCTGATAGAAGCCCCTGTGTGGCTTACCAGAGACACAGAAGTTAAGAAAACAAACATTGCTCAGTTCTATTAGTGACATTGTACCCAGATATCTGTCCCCAAGTGCAACTCTTCAACTAAGAGAAAATACTGCCAGAAAGAAAAACACACACACAAACATATATATGCATATACACACAACATATTCACACACACACAAGCACACACATATACACATCACACATACACACACACACACATATTTTATTTTTTATTTTTATTTTATGTGTATGAGTGTATTGCCTGCATATAGATAAGTACACCCATTTCGTGCAATGCCCGCGGAGGACAGAGGAGGCCATTGGATCCCCTGGAACTAGAGTTACAGACAGTTGTTAGCTGCCATGTGGGTGCTGGGATTCGAACCCGGGTCTTCTGCAAGAACAACCAGTGTTCTTAACTGCTGAGCCATCTCTCCAGCCCCTCAATTTATAAATATTTAAAGCAAAACAAACAGATGTAAAAGAGAAGGTATGAACAAACTTGTGAACATTATTTCATTTAGAAGCCTGAGATTATAGAAATGCTTATTCCTGATAGATGTAACATGAATCCTAGTTTTTCAAACTCGGTTATTCTGGAGACTTTCCTGAATTGTTATTAAAGCTCCTGATCAATTAATATACTGTCACAAAGTGCCAGGCTCGAGGTTTGGTATGTAATTAAATAAGTCATCTCAAAGAATGATTAAAATGTTTTAAATATACATGTCACAAATGGAAAAATGAGCAGCATGCATGCCTTTTGTTGAATGAGCCATGAAAATATGTATCAAAAGTCACAAAGGTAGGAAGCGATCTGCAGTCATGTGAAAATGCTTCCAGAGAAGCAAGAAGAGGAGAAGAATGATAAGAAACTCCACTTTTTATGAAGAAGCTCTAGTCCATATTAGAAAATGTAATCAGTCTGAGAAAGCACTGAAATAAAATTAAAATAATTATGTTCAAATTCTACTTCTATCATGAATAATACTGCATGACTATAGGAAAACTTGACCTGTGTGAATCCCAGTTTACTTGTGTATAGAATAAGGTTATAATATCAGTTGAATTCTGTAGTTCCCTTCATACTTTATGATTAATTTTCTTCTTACAAATAAACTGCCATAGAAGTTATACTGCCTATATAAAGTATATACTTTTGTATGGTTATAAGCAAGTTTTACATAAAAAGTAATTATTATATCTATACAGAGACATCTAAATCAATGTTTCCATAATTATCAAAAGCATGTAATCACAAACTCACATGACTCCTGTACACATTTGGTTAAGTATAAAGGCCATTCACATCCAAACCCACAGATACAGTTTATTATAACTGTATGCATTGCCTTTTTTTTTTCTTTTTTGCCTTTTTGAGACAGGGTCTCTCTGTTGCCCTAGGTGTCCTGGAACTCACTATGTAGACCAGGCTGGCCTTGAACTCACAGAGATCCACCTGCCTCTGCCTCCCAAGTGCTGGGTTTAAAGGCATGAGCCACCATGCCCGGCTTGCTTTGGCTTTTTATCATCTAGGAAGATGAAGAGCAACAAATTTTCCTTCTGGAGGGATTTTTGTATTTGTAGTGGCACTCAATTTCTGTAGTGATGGTTTATCATTATTACGATTAATGTGTCATAATTATTCCTCCTAAAAGAAAATTCAAGGAAATAAACTTCAAATTTAATTTTGCTAGTTTTGCATTAACAATGTAACATGGCCAGCTGTGGTAGAGCATGCATTAATTCCAGCAATTGGGTGGCAGAGGCAAGCAGATCTCTGTGAGACTGAGACCAGCCTGGTCTAATAGCAAATTTCAGGCCAGTTGGAGCTACAGGGAGATCCTGTCTCAAAAAAGAAAACAAAAGGGCGGGGGGTTGGGGGGTAGAAGCTGGAGAGACGACTCATCAGCTAAGAATGCACACTGCTCTTCAGAGCATCAGTGTTTGTTTCACAGCACTCCTGTCAAGTGGCCCACAAGCTGCCTATAGCTCCAGCTCCAGGGAATCCAATGCCCTCTTCTGGACTCCAAAGATACCTGCATGCTGGTACACACACACACACACACACACACACACACACACACACACACAGATGCATAAACCTTTTTTTTAAATGTGAGATGATTTTTTTTTCATGATCGTTGTAGGATTAAGTTTTACGATATGGACAAATTCTGGACTGATGACTTTTATTTAATCTTGCACTGAAAACTGCTGTTTATAATGTAAACAAGCTCACTGAGCTGTGTGCTCCTCTTGTGACATCGACATCTGACCTTAAGCCCACAGGATCCCCTCTCACTCTCCTCCCAAGATAGTGAATAAAGGTGGGTGTACATTATCGACACATCAAAGCACTGGAAGCAGCATGCTATTCTCGTTGCAAACAGTGAGAACTGAGAAGTCTGCTAGGTATTGTGTGATATTTTAGACCTAGGGAATCAAGATGCTCTGATAAGAGTGGATCCTAGCTCCCACTTCCCAAATTGCTTCTGGAAAGACTGCTTCAATAAAAGTATGGATGAGGCCTGGTTCTAGGGCATGTTTCTGAGAGACATCAGAAGGAATGGGTAGTTCTCAGAGTTCAGGTGCACTCTTGGCCTTTAAAAGCTAAGAGTCAGGCTGTTTAGGTATAACTGTAATGTGGCTTAGTAACAGCACATAATGAAAAACAATGCAATGCAAATAAATATTTAGCCAAGTTCCTTTTAAAAATCAAGTAAGTATGCTATGTACTGTAAAACAAAGGCTTAATGATCAACTGAAGACCTTGAAAGTTGTTTAATTAAATCCATTACACCTTTCCTCGCATTTGATGTACATTCTTTTATCATGTGATTAAGGGAGACAGGATAGATTCACATTTATTTTAAACATGATATTTAAGCCTACCTTTATCCCAAAGAACAATGAAAACATACCTATAAACCAAATATTTACTTAGAATTTTTTTCATTTACTTATTTTTAGTTTGTGTTTGTGCATGCTCAAGAATATGTATAGAAGTCAGAGAACAACTCGCAGGAATTGGTTCACTTCTTCCACCTTGTGTGTCCTGGGACTCAAACTCAGGTCACCAGGCTAGGCAGCAAGCACTTACACCAGCTGAGTCACCTTCCTGGCCCCCACAATACATATGAAAAAAACAAAGTTTTCACTTACTTTTCCTTAAAGAGTATGTAAATTTCATACTTTATATAAAGTATATATTTACATACTCTTACATTTATACTCACTCATGCATGCACTACACAAATACATACATGCAGATACACACTCACATATATACCCTACCTGATTCAGCAGTAAACATGTGTTAAGACATTCAGATAAAACATGAAAATATCCATCTTAACTAAGTCATTGCATATAATGAAATACATGGATCCACCCATGTGGTTTTTTTCCAAACAAAAGTATCCTAAGGATGTCATGGAATTTTCTCTTAAACATCATGGAAAGCAGGTAAGTAGTTTTTTCTCTGACTCTGTAACACCCAAGTCCAAGACCTAGCAATGGCAGAAAGATCACTTGATACTGTACTACCCAAGCAAAGGAAAATGAATGCATCTGCAAGTTATCACTTGAACAGCATAAGTCAAGCCACTTGTCAGCCTGGAATGAACACAGTTTAATTGAACACAATGTCACATGTTATATATTCAAGAAGGTTTTAAATTAAGTGGAAGAGGAAGAAGGAAATGCAAAGAGAAAAGATTTAATGGCATTTTAGCTTTTATTGATGCACACATATTGTATTAGCTTCTTTAAAAAATAAAACCTCTTCCTTCCACGCTTGTTGCTCTACCTGCCACCCAGGTCAAGGCGTACAAACTCCAGTTCAGCCATTCTCAATCTCTAATTCTCCTTCACATCTCAGGCATGAAAGACGAAATGTGCACATGGTACTCCTCCTGGAAAAGCACCTAGATCTTGATAAAAAACCAAACAGAAAAGGAAAGTCATGCAGTAAATGGTGAACTATCTGTCATCAGTAACCAGGAACACCATGTGGCCAGCTATACCAAGAGAAAATGACAGCATGCCAGCTCTTCCTGATGGACTGACTAGCCAAACCTCTGCCCTTCAATCACTGGGCAGACTTTGTCATAGGGACTGAGTGGTACCCTCTGGAGAGAATGTAGATCTGACTCATGCTTTCCAGGTAGTCCTCTGCAGCTTTCCACATTTCTAGTCACTTTTTAAAATGAATTTCTTGCTACAGATTCCACGACCGATTAAGGAGCCGAGCCACTGCTTTATTAGCAGAGCTGGAATTTTAACTCAGATGTCTCTTTCTTGAGCCATTTTTTCTTCCTACTACTAGGTCATCAGGCAGACAAGCACCCTGCCTCAGAAGTTACTTGGGCTCATTCTAGTCCACACTCAACCTTCTCTAGAGAACTCTGGAGAAAAAAAGAAGAAAAACTGACCAGTGCAGGGCATGTCTACTCCTAAACCCTGGCCCCACTTAAACCTCATGCTACTGCCTGTTACATTCCCAATACTTTTTCAAAAAACTTTTGTTTGTTTTATTTTAAGTGTGAGTGTTGTGCCTACATGTATGTAAGTGGACCTCTGTCATGCATTACCTGCAGAAATCAGAAGAGGGCATCAGATCCCATGGAACTGGAGTTAGAGACGGTTGTTTGCCAGCATGTGAGTGCTGGCATTCAA